ATAAACTGTCTGGAAGGTATTGCCTGCTTACCCTCTCCATCTCCATGTGTTAATTATATCTTTACTTCAATGATGCTTTCCTGCAGGACTACGAAACTACCTGATAATTGGCCTTCCTGCCATACGTCTTCTTTCAAATGCACTTCGCACACTAAATCTTGTGGTTTTAAAGCACAGAGAAATTATAACCTTTCCAGGAAGCCTGTTGTAAGAAAAGTGAAACATTATAGACCTACGTGAAAATCTTGGATCTGCAACTCAGTAATTTAATGTTGTTAGATAATACTATTCATCTCTTTAATTCTTTATTTGTTGGTCAGTAAAATGAAGCTGAGATGCTTATCCTAAAGAGTTTCAGTCTGAACTAGACAAGTAGTATGTGGATCTAGCAACATTCCTGGCCTATACGTTTTTCAAAGAGATTAACGAAAATAGCCTGTTTTTCTTTGTTTTCTTCTCATTATTAACTTTATTGAAAATAAATAATTATATAGCATATTAAAAATAGTAGACAAATATTGAAATGTGAAAAATATAAGATGTAAAAGGTGAAAGATTTATATGATCCGAAGAGAAATCAGAGTATAGATATAAGATGTAGAGTAAATTTTAGAGAAATAATTCTGAAGTGAATACATATCATGAGATTAATAATAGATTGCACATTGTAAAAAAATATTTTCAAACATAAATGAATATAACAGTGAAAATTGTCTAAAATAAAAATGAAGAAGAAAAAATTCATAGACCAGTCATATAATAGTTTACTCTGTTCCAAAATAAGAAACATATTCATATAATTAGCATTCTCAAAGTAGAAAGAGGTGGGCAATAAATATTTAAAGATTTAAATTTTGTGAATTTAGTTGAAATTATACCATCACATTTACAAGAAAATTGAACTTTTGCACAAGAAATATGAATAAAATCATACCAAGATACACAAAAATGAAATTGTGCAAAACTTATTGTAAAGAAAAAAATCATTGAAGCATATACATAGAAAAATATTAGCTATGGAAGAACAAAATTAAATAGCATCTTATTCCACATTAGAAAAAAAGAGTAAAGATGAGAAACTAGACTAATTCAAAGAACTGAACAAAAAAAGATCTCTTCTCACTGAATTTTATACTTAGCAAACATACCTTTGAAAACTAAAAGTAAAATATTTTCCAATTATACAAACTCAAAATATTCTAATGCCTCCAGAGGTAGCATATGGAAAATAACAAAGATCTTAATCCAGAAGGCAAGAGAAGTTGCTGTATGGTCTTGGATAAGGAATAAAGAGCTCTCAAAATAGTAGTTATGCAGGACTATGAATAATATAATTATATTAGATGAACCCATTTAAAAGGCCATTAAAGATTTCTGCAAAACAGTATGAATCTTATGTCAGGATCTATATGTGTGTTATATATGTGTGTCAGACTATGTATGTACACGTGTGTGTGTGTGTGTGTGTGTGTGTGTGTAAAAGACAAGGAAGAACTAATATAAAGTCAATGGAAAATGGAAATATACTTTTTAAAGTTTCTAATACTTGGAGACAATATTGTGCCATGTCTTATAAATAGATTGTAAGTCAAAGATACAGTATAAATTATAAAAAATTAAAATTAAACAATAACATTTTAGACTTGGGATGATGCATTTTTTAGCTATAAAGGTACTCAACAAAGATAATGGAATTATTTCTGCAATTAACTGGTAATTTGTAATTGACTGGATGTGGTTTCCAATTATTATTGTTGTTGTTGTTGTTATTATTATTGCTATTGTCTTTTTGAGACAGGATTTCACTATGCAGTTGAGACTGGACTTGAACTCACTCTATAATCCAGGCTGGCTTCCAACTCAAAGCACTCCTCCTGCTTCAGCATCCTAAGTGTTAAGATTATAGGCATACACTGCCAGGTCTGGCCTACAGTTTCAACTTGGCCGTGAAAAATTCTACAACTCTGTACTGCGATTTATATTCATGGCATTTAAAATCATGCTTTGCTCTAATATTCCTCACTTATTTCAGAACTTCTTAAATTTAACATTAAATGATGAAATTTCTTACTAAAATAATATATCCCAATGTGCATGTAGAAAAAAAGAAAATTCAATGTGAATTTGTCTCATGTGGACTAACTGGATACATACATAATTTTTATTAGATATCAAGGGGTATATAATTATTCTTACTTTTACCTTTATATCTCTAGCTTTCTGTAAATTATGTCTTTAAAAAGATAAACTTAAATAAAAACTAATGAAGAAATTGTTACCCACAATGTTGTTTATTCTTTCTGATTCAGTATCACAACAAAGCATACTCTGTGTGCTGAGAATCTCAGACAGCATATGTCAGTTTTATTGTTTATAGCTTTATGGATGGTCTTATGACACACAGCACAGCACAAATGCCAATGGGAAGAAAATAGTATTTTCAAACATTTTATATTACTATGACTCTATAGAGGCAGGATGACTCCTTCTACAAAATGAAGAAGTGTCTTAGATACCAGTTTTGATAATCTTAGAATTGGGTGCTTTTTAAAATTACATTTCATTAAGACAAAGACCAGCAGTCTTTATGACTTGTGTTTTGTTGGATAGTTGAACTACTTGCTTCTTGTAGTTTGAAGCACCTGGATTCTATTTAAAGTGACAATAGTCTTAAAATAGGAGGAGAGAGTACTGTTTATTGCAGATTGCAGTTCATCCCCAATATACCTTGAAAGTAACTACATAATGGTGTAAGTTGTCATAAAAAGTCTTTTTAGAAAAGTTAATTCATCAGAACTTTGAAGAATTGTTTGGAGTCTGAAAACTCCAAAGAGTTAGGAAAAGGTGTTTTAGATGGAGATCAGCCTTAGGGCTGGTGACAGTGAAATGAGATTTAAACCATGCATATTTTGAGGATTCTACAAAGAAAAAGATGATTAATCTAATTAGATGTCAAGGTAGAAGGAATACCATGAGGGGGCCGGCCAGAAAACTCAGCGGATTAAAGTGTCTGCTTAGATGGATACAGTGGCCGGCCTGGTTTAATCCCTGGCATGCCCTTCCAGCCCCACTCCCGGGGCACACCGAAACCTTGATTGAGACAGGGAGGGGTGGCACATGCCTCTAATCCCAGCTCTTGGGAGGCTGAACTCAGGCGAATCACTACAAGTCTATTCTACTACGTAGTGAGACCCTGTAGACCCTTACTAAAATAAAATTAAAAAAAAAAAAGAAAGAAAGAGAGGATACCCAGAGGATAGTAATGGAAGTTAATACACTGAAGTTCACACAGGAAGTGCTCTGAATTCCAGAAAGAGACATTTACTTTTCAATTTATGTGTTATGGGAAATTATGTAGTTACATCTGTATTTTAGAGAATGATGGATGACACTATCTAAAGGATAAATTAGAAAAAGCATAAAAAAAGGAAGAAGTCACATGGATTGACAAACAGTGGGGGCCTAGACAGGAACAGGAGGAATAAAAATGAGCGGGCACTATACAGTGGCAAGCTGGAGGAGGTCAGGCAGAATTCAAGGGTGGAATGAGGACAATGCAAATGAGTGAACTGGGTAATCTTCCTAAGATTCTTTACAGTATGACCTCCTAAGGTGTAAAATAAAACATGGGGTAGAGCTACTTTAGATGTTGTCTGGCAGATACTGAAGAATAATACTTTAAAACTGGATCTTCATAGTTTTCTTTATCATTGCAATTGCCTAATGAGTAGACCAACTTCTTGTATCTAAGCACAGTGATTCACTGTGGTATAGGGATGACTGGTTATTGTATAAGAGGTAGAGCATAGGCATGTAAGGAGATACAGCTGGACAGGGAGGGCTGTCTACTATGCTGGCTGTTTTTGCTGTCTGTAGATGCTTCAGAGAAGCTTTACTTTCCTAATTAGGTGACTATTGGGCTATTGCATGTTAATGATTTAGGAGTTGTCTGGTGGTCAGTGGGTGGCAGTGTTGCACATAGAAAGAACACTGGTCCCAGGACTGCTGCTCAATTTCTGTACTATCAGCTCATCTTCAGAATTACCTGGAATTGCGTTTTCAATCTAGACTCCCATATTCTATCTCTTAGGATTCTGATTTAGTTAATCTGAGGTAGAACACAAAGACAACGGATTATTAATTAGGGTAAAGTTTGTATTTAGCTAAATTTAGGAGCTAATGATTTAATTTAGTTCTCAGTTGTCATAGGAGTTTTAGGAACATTACATGTAAAAATCATCTGAATTTAAAAAAAAACTTTAAATCACAATAAAATATAATTGAATGGATTCTCAAAATTATGATTCAATAACTTTTTAAAAGGCTATATTAATTTCTCATTGGTTTGAAGCTTGACTACATGAAGTCATATTTGTTTGATTTTTGTGTATAGCAATGGTGAAAGAAAACATGAATTCTGTTCAGTTTAATACATAAAATCCAGAAGAACATACAAGAGCCTTGCTTTCCTTTCTTTTAATTTAGTGAAAAAAATCCAATAACAACAAAATCTAAAAAAAAAAAAACTTCTGTATACTTTTAATATAAAACTCACGCTTGTTGTTTATACTGTGATAATTTAATTATCACAAATCAAGTATATTCTGACTTCTTAAATTTTAGGGCAATAGTTTAAGTTAAATACATGGTTCTCTTCATCACTTTTTGAGGACTGAACTTGGGACCTTGTGTTTGCCAGCAGGTGCTTAGGCCACTGAGCTATATCCCCATCTTCTTCATCACTTTCAAATCAAATACAGTTAACATAAAAAAATTTTATGACAATAATAGCAATCGAGGGACAGTGAGATATCTCAGCAGACTAAGTGCCTGCTTATATAAGTGCAGGGACCGTGTTTGATTCCTGGTACTGCATGCCGCATCAGCGCTGCCCTTGGGTGTGCTGAGCCTGCAACCGAGTCTAGGCATGATGGTGCGTGCCTCTAATCCCAGTCCTGGGGAGGCTGGAAACAGGAGGATCACTATGAGTCCAATCTACATAGTGAGACCCTGTACCAAATACATAGAAGATAATAATAATAATAGCAATCATGATTTTTAAATACATATAATACTTTTGAAATAGTTATCCAAATTAAGAAGATTTCAGCAGCACATACAATATTTATACAACAGTACGTAGCATAAGTGTCAGTTGAACTTGAAGCTTATAGAATTCTGTCATCAGCCTCCTAAGTTTTATTCACACTTTCTGTAGAACCAGTGTTACTTTGTCTTTTCAGTTCTGAGGGATTTTCTAAGAGAGAGATCAGCTGCATTTCATGACAGTGCCATCCTATTGTCCTTCACTAGTCTCTCAGTGTTTATGTTGCTTGTGCTCCTTTAGTCCTGTGTGAATAACTTCCATGTTCAGACACTCGGAGTCTCTTGCTCTTCCTCGGGGACCAACGGTCACCCAGGCAGCCAGTCTGGCTCACATCTCTTCTGTCCTTGATACCATCATTTCAGTTCCCTTCACCCAGAAGCCAGTCACTTTAGGCTACTAGCCTGAAGGTCATTTAGAAGATTTAAGTAAATATTTGATTTCAGGAACCTGGGATAAGAGTCCTTTTCCATAAGAGAATATATGATTTTTTGGGCTTCGTCAAAACATGTTGGAGTAGGTGATTTAATCTTTTTGGCTGTAGATTCTCGAGTGTGAAAGTCAATGTTGATCTAAAAAGAAATTCTTGTTAGTTAATATGTACTTCTCATTATGATCAATTTTATGATGTTATTGCTTTTTATTTTAATGAAAAAAGATACAAAATTTCAAAATAAGATAATAGGAGAGTGTCAATAGTTAACACATTACATATTATTAATCTTCAAAGTAGTTGCTTAGATTACAACATATAGGCATGAAAAATTGATCAAACAATATAAACACAAACCTTTTTTCAATAAACTAATAGAAATTAGTAGTATAACTATCTTGTATACATACATATATACATATATATATATTTTTTCTTTTCTATTCTTTTTCTCCTATCTTAGTTGCTCTACCCTTTTAAACAGTTCTTCTCCATTTCATATGTATTGTACATTTTGGATCTTATTTATTCTTTTAGTTTCTTACATGAGGGAGACAATATGATGTTTACACATGAGAGTATGATTTATTTCAATTATGATTATGGTCTCCAGTTACATCCATTTACCTATAAAAGTCTCAAGTTTATCTTTTTAACAGCTGCACAGTACTCCATTGCATAAAAATACCACATGTTTTTTATCCATTCTTTGGTTGATGGGAATTTGGGTTGTTTTCAGGATTTAGTTATTACAAATTGTGCTGCTATAGACACAGGTGCACATATATCACTGTGGTGTGATGCTTTTAATTCTTCTGGGAAACCCAGAAGGGGAATACTGGGTCAAATGGGACTTTTAGGAAATGGTTTAAGTCCTCATCTAATCAGTTACCTCTTGAATGCCTACTTTATTTTTTTATTATTATTATTTTGCTTTTGGTGCAACCACTGATTGAACTCAATCCCTTGCCCTTTCCAGGCAAGCACTTATTCTACTAGCAATCTCCCCAGCCCCTTGAATACCTACTTTAAATCAGCCCTATAGCAAGTATAGAGGAGATGAAAAATGTAACAAAACATTTTGCTCCAACTTTTCTCATAGTGTACGTGGAAGACAAAAAGAAATGGACATGGAAAAATGTATCCATATAAACTGGTACATGTTAAAAAAAAGAGTGCCTTGTTCTTTTAAAATTTACTAGGTGAGAGGGCTCTTTGTGCAGTTATTTTATGCTTAGGCTAGGAATACTCTACTGAAAGGTGAACAAGACAACTTACTGGACATAGTTTTACTGCTGCAGTTGTATGTATGATAATCTTCATTTTATTTTTATTAGTATGAAAGAGTTCACTGAGGATTCCCAGAGATGCAGTTCTAGCCAATAGTCTCTGTTCTCATTTCCCCACCCTCAACATATGAGATAGTTTTGCTAACCCAGTCTTTTCATTCTCTGTGCTAAAATCTTTACAGATAAAAGAATTATATTATTGCTACACTGACCTATATGAATATACTTAAATAAATATATAAAAGTAAAATGGCACTCAAAGAATTTCATCTTGATATATATATTGAATGGTTTTTTTTAGCTAAATTATTTTATATCAATGATAATGAACTAAATACTCACTTGTTTAGCTGCATCTGAATGCACAAATACTTTATATATGTTCTCTGCTTTGGAATGCAAAAGACTAGACTCTGTTTTCTTATAGTCTTCACAAGCCAGCCAGAATTCAATATTCTCTTCACTGAACTCAGACTTTAGGAAATTTCCAAACACATCTTGACCAGCTAAAAAGAAGTGGAAGGATTAAGCTAATTCATTCACAGAGACAAGAAATGAGTAACATGAAAAAAATATGCAAGAAAATGTCAGTCCCATTATATACATATGAAGGTAATAAACCTTCTTGGAAATAACTGTGTTTTAGTTTCTAGAGAGCCGAGGGCCTTAGAACTTCTACATATAGAAAAGAAATCTGGGATCAAACTTGTTCACATAGCTATAGAGGGTAGCCACATCTAATAGATACCAACCTACTGCCCAGAGCTTAGATTACTATAAGGAAGCAAGGATTTATGTAAGAGGCGTTGATATCTAATTTCCTTAACCAATCATGCTAGGCCTCTGTGTATCACTATGTAACTGATGCACTTATTATATGAGGTTGAATTACTTGATACTCAAGGAAAGATCCTCGCAGTATTTCAGGTGAGAAGAGAATGTACACATCCTTCAAGGATCTAAATCCCCTAGCATTGCAACACCCATGACAGGAGGAAGGCAAATTATTTCATTCTTTCATCAGAAAATTCCCACAAGACTCTTGTGTATAAAAATTATTTCATTATATTGTAGCAAGTATTATATTATCTATAAAATGCAGTTATTTTCTTGATGTTGACCACCTTCAAGGTAGTAAAATAGTATCTTTCTTTGTGACTCTTTGGTGCCTACAAAGGGCATTGCACATAAAGGTGGAATGAATGACAGACTTAATGAATGTACAAAAGACAATATATTAATCCAATTAAAGAACCCTGTTCTTTATGTTCATCAATACAAAATACATTCTTTAGGCAGCTTTCAAAATGACAGTTCACATGTTTAGATATGTAGCTTGCTTTTTAAAACCTTAGACTTCATAACAGTAACATAATTTTGCTTCTATAGGATTGATGAAAACTCCAACTTGCTTTGACAGATTTGTGCAAAGGACAGTGGTAAAATTGAGGACAAGGTTAATGTTATATTACAAGGAGGCATACTGTGTTGGGGTATCAATGACTCTAGAAAAACCAGAATATAACATTTTTTACACCAGCCTACTCAAAATACTGTTTAAATGAAGCCATTACATCTGTTGGAGTAAAGAACTGCAGCTAGAAATATGCAGTAGTCAGTACACACTTACTTCGGTTAGCAAGAAGTTTTTCGAGAGATTGAGACCACTGCATTACTTCATCAGCAGAAAGTCTACAGGGGAGGAGATTTAGAGGAATTAGTAAAATATTTTTACATACACCAAAATGAAATAATAATAGCTGATGCATTTTGATAATTTCACAAAGACTCTAGCTGCAATAAACTGTATTAACATTTCTACATAAAATTCTTAGAATTACCATAGTCATGAAGATCATCCACAAATAAAGTTTGGAGCTATACAAATATATAAAATCTTTTTTCAAAACAAATTTTATTATTTTTAAAAACTAATAATAGACATATGTGCACACATATTTCCTTTACATTAGTAGTAATAATTTAATCTTATCTAACATGTTACCTAAAAGAAATAAAGTCTATTATGTTCAGTATTAACCTCTAAGATACAGAACTAATACCTAGGCTCTTCTAAATGACAATGATAATTCACTATATCAATGTACATACATGTCCTTGGACTTGGAAGATTTCATTCCCGATTCCAGATGTGGCACCATAAATCTCAGGTAAGCTTTCATGTCCATTCCACTACAAAAGGCAGAAAGTGGTTATTCATATTTCTTCAGTAGAATTAACTTTATTTGCAAAAAACAAAACAAAACAAAACAAAAAAACAACACAGGGTAATTGTTTCCAAGGAAAGGGAAAAATAAAAATGGTTGATGTAGTATTTTGCCCTATTAACAGAGAATCATTTTCATTTTTATGAGTCAGTGTCTGGCAACATTCTCACCTAATTTAATGTCATAATACAATTTACTTTTTAATAGTACTGGATCTTACTTGTAACTCACAATAGGTAATTGCTATGGTCTAGTTAAATTAAGTACTCATTCTCCTGCATTCAATATTTGTAGTCCCTCTACTATTAAAATAAGCTAAGTGAAACACTGAATGAACTTACAAAGTTCTTGGTCTCCTTTTTTGCGTTTTGTCATCCAAAGGTGAGTGGTCAGTTTCTTTCAAGTCCTTTGGGTTAGGAGAGAAGAACATTCCTGGCATCTTGTCCAGCCTTGGCACGGAGAGGGCTGCTGCTCTCATGGCCTTCTCACAGCAAGTGTCTGTTAGCCAACGTCTCCGCTGCCTTATATAGCCGAGGCAGACTGGCGCTTGCTGTTCAAAGGAGGCTGTTTACCAAGTCATGTTACCACAGACGCCAGAATTTCCTCCTTTTTTTGATGTGCTGTGACGTGTATCTTGAAAAAAAAAATCACACTGTGATGCCTTGTGGTTGAAACTTAACCAAATGAGAGCAGGTCACTTGATTAGAAAGGAAAAAAAAATTAAACATACATGACATATATATCACAAGTCTAAAGCTTTAGTACCATCAATCTTTGGTGTGGGAGAAGTGTCCTTGTTGTAGAAAATTGCATATATTAATAAAATGTTTTGTTTGCTTTATGGTATCATTCAACATTAGAGTTGTATCTCCTTTAATGCTTCAGATTGTCTTTGATTGATTGTAATATTCCAAAGAAAGCCCCCACCCCTGGAAGTGGTACACATAAACATACTTTTTGTGTATTATTATACCTATATGATATAAAGGAGGGCTAAGAGGAATTGTCTTGTCTGACTTTGACTCTCATCGCTTATTTTTATGGCAAAAAATTTTATGCTAGTGATTTTCCAGGCAAGTGCTGAATATTCTACTGCTGATGTGTAAGAGCATTGTAAAGGGCACTTCTTTGTAAACATTTGTTAGGAATAGAATCAGTATATCAAACTGTGATGGTTTGGATATTTAGGGGGAAAAAGCAAAGTAAAATTTGAAAATATCTAAAAATAAAAGTATAATTCATATGCAGACTTGGTACACTATATTATAATATATGAGGTATGATCACAAAATGCAATATAGCAAATGTTTAAATTTTTAAAAAATACAATAAAATTAATCTCCCTCAAGTTACTCCCATTTACTCTGAGCACGCTTACTTCTTGCCACTTTCTGAGGCAGTCCTGAAACTCCTCTTTTGGGAATCTCTTTAGTTATACTGTTGTGACTACGTTGATGTTCTGGATTGATTCAAAACATTGTCATTTCGACTTTGGGGAAGAACCAGAAGTCTCATGGTGCCAGATTCAGTGAATGAGGTTATAAAGACACCATATATATGTATTGCTGGTACTGGGGATTGAACTCAGAACTCAGGGCCTTGTGCAAACTTTAACAAGCCTTCCTTTCCTTTGGAGAGTTCTCTGCGGCAGGATTCATGTTAATTTCAATCACATCTTTTTGTGTGTGTATGTGTGTGCGCAGGGTCTCACTATGCAGTTCGGACTCATAGTGATCCTTCTGTTTTCAGCCTCCCTAGTGTTGGGATTACAGGTGTGTGCCACCACACCCAGCCTCCATCAGTGACTCAGTGCACCCAGGAAACAGGGCTGGTGCGGCATGTGGTACCAGGGATTGAACCCTGGCCCCTGCTCTTGCCTAAGCAAGCACTTAGTCTACTGATCTATCTTGCTGGCCCTTGATCACATCTTATAAAGACACAAAAGAGGACTTCTGAACTGCTTCCAAAATAGCCCGATGATAAATGTGCTCAAAGCAAGGTAGGATATTTTCAGTGGGGCTAATGGCAGTGTTTCTTTTACTAATAAAGTTTTAAAATTTTAACACACGCTCTGTATTTTAATCAGTTCTTGTTTGAGTATACTGATAATAAATAATTAAACAGTATCGGAAGACAAAAACTACTCAAGGTAAAATAAGAGTTTATTTGAATAGACAGGTAATTTTGCTACTTAGGTAATAATACTCCAGACCTTGGTAATATCTCTAGGGAGATATAGTATAATTTTAAATTTAGGTTGAAGTCTAAAAATCAAATTTAATCGAATCAATTAATAGCTTATCAGAGTAGAAGAGTTAGCATAATTTAAGCATTTATAGAACTTGTATAGAGTATGAATTATTATTATTTTTGTACAGGGTCTCACTACACAGGTCATACTTGCAGTGATCCTCTTACTTTCAGCCTCTCCAGTGCTGGGATTATAGGCATGCTCCACCATACTTGGACTTGGTCTCTGGTTTAGCACACCCTGAGGGCAGGGCCAGTATGACATGGCCTGGTGCAGCATGCAGTACCAGGGATTGAACCCAATCCCTGTGCTTGCCTAAGCAGGTTCTTAATCTGCTGAGCTATCTTGCCAGCATGAGTATGGATTATTTATTGAGTTTCCAGTTTAATCCTTTGGATTTTGCCCCTGGAAAGATAGTTTTTACATAGACTTCTTATGGTATTAGGTAGGAATGTTAAAAAAGAGCAAACAATTATTTTTCCATCCTTATTATATTATCAAGATAAACAATGTATGAAGGGAACAAGTTTATCATATTGTAAAACTGAATACACTGTCGTGTATTTATATTACATAACACTATATTTTATGTAATGATATCATTTAAGGTTAGGAGGATAATATGATGTATTGACAAATAGAATTAGTGAGATGAGATGAACTCTTAGAAGTGACCAATCAAAACACTGGTGACATAACGATATTTTTATACTTCCTGTGGTTTCATACTGACTTTCTTGTTAAAATCTTCAGCATTTCTCCTGTTTATTTATCTCATAATCCTTTACTCCTCTAGAAAACTGTGTATAAGTTATATTAGAAGAACAATTTAAAAGTTATTTTGAATGGCATATTATAATTATCCAAACATACCAATAATTTCCTAGTATATTTCTGAAACAATAATTTACATGGATATTAATAAGCATAGTAAGAAACAAAAACAAAAGCCAAATTTATGGACCAAATAAGTTTGGCCAATGCTGGTTGCTAATGTTTTAAGAATCAACCCCCCCTTTTTTTTGTATTTTTATGAAAGGGTCTGCAACTGTCTTTTTTTTTTTTTTTTTTTTACAGGACTGGGGATTGAACTTAGTATCCTGCATTTGCCAGGCAAGTGCTTATTCTACTGAGCTATCTCCCTGGCCCTGCAATTGTCTTAATGGCACAAAACTGCAGCTATTGTTTTGACTGTGTTTGCTTCCTGCTGCAAGAGCTGTGAGTACCACAGTGAGGCAAATTTGGTTCCCATGCATCAGCAAACACTGAAAAATCCCTAGCAGACCATTGAGAGTTTTTGATTATAGCTATTGATTTTGAAGAGGGAAATGAAGGAAATTTTAATCTTTGCTAAACTTATTTTATATTTTTATTAGTATCACTTCAACCATTTTATGAAGGTATCTAAAAACTAGCAGGAGTTATTTGGAAGAATGACATTTTTAACCTTCGTATTGATTAAACTTATATTGAAAATTCATTGGATTGCTGAAATTTGTTAGAGATAATAGGGATTTTGAAACAAAAGACAATGATAAGATAGTATCATAAAATATATATAATGAAGACTCAGTATCATGAACAGAAATTTTGAAACTTTGAAACAAATTATCTTGATTGAATAAATTTAATTGTCTTATGATAATGGACATAAATTACTTCAAATGTAAAAGTGAAACAATGTCTGTCCTCAGGACTTGATAGTGAAATAGGACAGATAAAGTTTTCAGCAGGTAATTGAAGTGCAGTAACACATGACGAGAGGGTAATTTTTCAAGTGGGGCAAAGAAGCCAAATGGTGCTGCATTTATCTCTGAATGAATAAGTGTTTATTGTTATATTTTTTGCCTCTTTCTTCACTGGTATTCAGTACTCCTTGGAAAGTGCACAGGATGACAGTGGAGTCATGGGTCTTCAGCAAGCAGACACCTCTTACATGGTTAAGTAATAGTTTTTGGTAGTTAAGAGAATTAAAATATTGCAGTCTTGCATGGTTCCTCAGTACTTGGTTCATTGCTGGGGTCTTTTCGAGCTCCTGCAGCCTCTCAAGCTTTCAGGGTTTGTAGTACCCCCAGCAGTGTTTCAGCTAAATTTTGTAGAATTCACTTGAAAAGTTCAACAAAGGTGAGTTTGAAAGGATTTTTTTTTTGGGTGTGTATCTGTGATTATTAAGTTTGGTAGCGACATTCATTCTTGACTTCTATCATTTATGAATGAAAAGATTAAATATTTGAGAATTGCTTATCATTGTGTTTTTTAATTTAAAAAATCCTGCTGACAGGTTTTAAGAAAAGTAGATGTCTATGACTGGGTGCAATGTTGTGATCTCAACAGATGGAACCGAGCAAGATAAGAATCTAGTTTCTTTTTCTCAGCCTTCTATGTTTGACTTCTTGTCAACACTGAATGCCTCCTTTCTATAAATTGAGAGCTTATAGGAAAAATGAATATGAGTCCTTTAGTGAACTGGGATCAGATGATTCTACAAAACCTTGTTCACCTTTGATCTCATGTTGCCATTTGGGTTTTCATTATAGCACCATTATGGCTTGAGTTTAGATGTCTGCTCAAAGCCTCCTGTGGTCATGGGAGGGCTTTTTCAAAGATGGCTGGATCTAGAGTATTGACGCTGGAATTGATATAGTGCAATGCTAGGATCAAGGGATGGATTAAGGGCATGAATGCTACCCACTATAAGTATCCTGGATGAGATATAAGTGATAGAAAGAGCTGTGGTCATCCCTTGCTTGTTTTGCTATTTTCTTCCCACTATAAGCTCTTGCTTTGCAAATAAAATTCAGATATTACTGAGCATGTGTCTTATACTAAGTACAAATAAATGAAAAACTGTGATATGGGAATGTTACAACATTATTTGGAGTTAGGGTAGGATGGCCTGTTACCTAACACATGACACAAATACAAAAATAAAGCACCTCAAAGATTAGCAGATATGGGTAATTTGTAAAATAGTGCTTTAAGTATTATGGAGCTGGTGACTGTGCTAATGTTGCAGGTTTCTAATAGTGTCATTCCAGTGGTTTGCCTTTGCTCTTACTGCACACTGAAGTGCTTAGTAGCTTTCCTTTATTTGCTTTTAGTACTTATTATGTAATTTGCTTTGAAAAGACAAAGCTTGTGCAACATGCTCTATTTTTTTCCAAAATCATGCGACTTAGCACTTACCTCTGTTAGCTCTACCGTTTCATGTTATGGCATACCATATATTGATGTTAG